ATGTCTTGATGGCCATAGCTAAAATAAATGAAAACGACACTTCCGTCCATAAGTATATGTATTACGCCTAATTTTTGTATTGATAAAGAAAAGTCAAACATATGCGCCGGTGTCACAGACACTAGTTGGTCAAAATTTTGCATCCTTGTTTTTTTATATCTTACTTTATACTACGTATCCATTATTCTTATTATTAAAAATAGTAATGTCACTTTTTGTTTCATCGAGTAGAATTTTAGATGTATCTTTTTACGTATGTATGTTTTATTTGCTTATTGTTTGCTTATGATAAACGGAATGATACAAAAAACCGAGTTAAATACTACCTATATCTTTCTTATACGTAGTAAAATATAGATAATATATAGTCTTACTCTAAAGTATGGATTAAGTGTTGAGAGGGAGAGTATACAAGCTATATTTATACAATCACTCCGTTCATTTTAACTCAAATTTAATCAATTGAGACAATTAATTTAAGTGCATGTTTGTGCTGTTTGGTAGGCATAATCTCACACTTTCTAGATTTTAATTTGTACCACGTATATTTTGGTATGAGAATAATTAAGGGTTTTTAAAAAAAGATATTTTTTGAAAAATTGAATAATTTCTGATAGAAAAAATATGTAGTTTATAGCATTAATTAATTACGGAGTATAGGTAATAAATAACTATATTTGACACATTTTAGCACAAAACGGGCTTACCAATTAAGCATATTGCAAAAAGAAGAGAGTTTTGACCGGCGAATAGTAGTGTAGATCAAAAGGATTGAAACATGACAAGTATAAGTCAGTGATAGATATGATAGAGCCATAGGAAAATAGGAAAATACACACTTACCATCTTTGCTCCAACATTTTACTCAGACTTTTCACGTTAAACTTGACTCATTTTCACATGCACCCTCAAATCGTAAGAACCCTATACCCAATTACCCATAAGGAATAATTAAATATAATATAAATATACAGAAAAGAACAAGAAATCTCTAACCCTTAAAGTCCAAGTTAAATGTACATAACACATGTATAGTATGGAGATCGGAATTGTACATGATTAAACATAAGGATAAAAGAATGACCCCATCTATGGGAAAAGAACAAATTCCATTATACGTAGTACATTTTAACCACCTAATTAAATGGATAGATCACAATTGGCTTGATTTGGATTTTCCCATTGTTTAATCTTTTCAATAAGATCACGCATGACGTATACATATGATATACTAAACCACCTAAATTGTCAATCTAATATGAGGATTTACCAAAACAAATATGTGAGTGTTTTTTTTATCAATCATTTTATTTAATGCTTGAGGTTTATTGTAATGAAATTATAGGGGATTCTTATTTTAATTCGTTTTTTTGTTTGAAAGTAAAACGCCCACTTTCATATAAGTGAATCGTTAGCCAAACAACTTACAATATAAAACAATATAAAATGGTGGAGAATAAAAAATAGAAACACAAACGCTACTATCAATTCGGTTATTCATTCTAGTTAGAGATTAATTGCAAAATCACATTGGTACATATTGATATATACTTTTTGTATATGGGGCAAAATGACCATGAGAGAATTTAATCACTTTTTATAAAATTAGGTCACAAATCGTTCGTGTGTATATAAATAAAAGTATTTTGAATAATTGTGAATTGTACGCATGCATGGAGAACTACCGTCAGGGCCGGTCCTGTCTAGTTTAGGGCCTATGGGCGATATACTATTTTGGCCTTATTTCCAAGATAATCAGTAAATCATACTTACTTAAAGTAAAAAATTACGGGGTATAATAAAACTAGGAGAAATTACTCTACATATGACTACAAACGTTTGTATATTCCAAACTAAGATTATCATGTTTTTATTCTCTAAATAGAAGTAATTAATGTCATATTTTGGCAGTATCATATTTTACACATGATAGTATTTTCCGAACATGACACTTGACAGTAATTACTCCTATTCGGAAAATAAACACATGACAGTCCTATTTTGAAATTCTAAAAATATTTTACTCCTATTTCAGGAATTCTCCCTACAACTATCTAATAAAGGTTATAAAATAAAGATGAAATTCACCTTCGTATTATTTGAATTGCATATTTGGACAAAAGTAACAACACATGCATCACAAAAGAACATTATGAAGTATGATCATAAACAATTACTTTATAATAGTCCTGGACTCGGGCCGGGTGGCCCGACCCGGGACCGGCCCGGGACCGATACTGTGCTGAACCGGCCCGGCCTGGCCCGGTGGCCCGGTCAGTGACCGGTCCGGGTAGGACCGGCCCGGGGGGTTCCCGGTGCAGGCTCGGGTCACCCAAAAGCCGAACCGGCCGGTTCGGGCCCGGTTCTGGGCTTTTTAATTTTTTTCCAATATTGACCCGAGGCCCGGCCCGGACCCAGACCGGGCCCGGTGGCTACCCGAGCCGGTCCCGGGCCCACCTATTCAGAACCGGCGGCCCGCCCGGGCCTAGGACCGGCCCGGACCCGACCCGGCCCGAATCCAGCCCTACTTTATAATCAATCTTTTCCAAGATCACATGTGCAATGTTTAAAATTGCTAATCCATTAAGTTTTTTTAGGCATAATAGATAATTGGGATGATGTTTGAGAATTGGGAGGCACCGGCAGGCCAAAGACAGTAATATAAATTGGTAATTTTGTAATTAAAAGAATAAAAAATCTTAAGGGCTAAAAAGATGTGAAGAGACGTTCTTTTATTGATTCAACAACAAATGTGTTGACTTGCAACAAACTCTATTTAAAAATCAAGACTAAATTTATATTCTTTTTAAAAGCTTGTCTAGCTTTATTCAAGACTTTTTACTTATGTTTTAAAATTCTCAAATTGTCAACAAAAATTACACATTAGGCCTAATTAATTAATGGGATCCCTTAATTAATTGAAATTATAAATAAAAAAGAAGTATACTCATATTACATATGAAGAAAAAAATTTGGGCCTAATTTTCTTTCTACTTTTTTTCGGGCCTAGAGCGGTCGCCCCTGCTGTCCCCCCCAGGACCGGCCATGACTACCGTCTGCGATCATATATTATATTGATTTGTGTATGAAATTATCTGTGGCCAAATACTTTTATAGATGGTTTTCAATTTTTTACTAAAATAAAGATCGGAAAAAAATGTGACCACAGTTACTTTGAATATATATTTATATATGGTCATTGTATACAAAAATGGAGCATGATCTTGTAACTAGATGTTCTTAAGTCATATTTTTGTTTGTCATGTAAATTGGATCATATATTAGAAATTATTTTATACTCCCTCCGTCCCAAATTGAGTTGTAAATTTGATTTTTTGGTGTCAAACAGTCTCATTTTATTCACTTAATTAGGATATCAATTCTTAAATAAATTTTAATTTAAATTTTGCAAAAATTATAAAGATTGGTTGACCAGAATAATGTTGACTTTACAAAACAGGACGAATGTAATACTATTTATCATCATACGGATTCATAATCTGAGTGTTATGAAACTCATACAAAATGAGGATATCATGCCTAGAATGCATTTCATTGATTAAATAATTATTTCTTCATTTATTCATCTTTAAATTATTCAATTTCAAAATTCTAAAGGGATAAGGGTCAGATAGGGCCTCGAACTCGAAAAAAAATGTCAAATAAGGTCATATTTCGGATGCTCTGTCTGGCCGACGGCATTTGGGGCGGTTCCCGATGGAATTTTTTGATGAAATTTTTTGAGCATCTTCCTCATTAAGTCTAGTTTACCCATACCAAATTTTAGCTAAAAATTCAACCGGGAAGGTAGTCAAATAATTTTCCGAAATGTACGGCGTTGTTTAACTTCACAGTTATCTTCAAAAATTCATTTGACTACCTTCCCGGTTGAGTTTTTAGCTGAAATTTGGTATGGGTAAACTAGACTTAATGAGGAAGATGCTCAAAAAATTTCATCAAAAAATTCCATCGGGAACCGCCCCAAATGGTGTCGGCCAGACAGAGCATCCGAAATATGACCTTATTTGACATTTTTTTTCGAGTTCGAGGCCCTATCTGACCCTTATCCCAATTCTAAATGATCTATAGAGTTTGCCTTCCCATAAACTAATTGTAAAACGGTGTGCATAATTTTTTTTTGATACATCTGAAAGGATAAACGGTGTGCATAATAAGCATTACTTTGTCTTTATGTCCACTTAATATGAAATGACCTCACATGATACATGTTTCCTAAGTATAACAAAATACATTGACAACACCATGTAACTTTCTATATATCAATCCCTTATTACTATTTGTATTATTATCGTTTTTAATACTACCTCCGTCCCAGGGACAAGTTCTCACTTTCCATTTTTGACAGTCCCAACAAAAAGTTCCCATTTCCCTAAATGGAAAGTTATCCTACATCAAAACAGTGCCAAACAGTACAAAACAGTGCCAAACAGTATCGAAACAGTGCCAAACAGTGTCGAAACAGTGCCAAACAGTAAAATTTACCCCTCAGTAACTTTATTTCCTTAATATGTGTGAAAGTCAAACCGGGAACTTCTCCTGGGACGGAGGGAGTATTAAAATATGGTCCTTGAGGCATTTAATGTGAAGTAGTGATTGTAGTCCCATTCTTTCACCATTTAATATGCACAAATTATTGGTTGATTTCTCTATATGTCTTTCTCTATTCAGGAATTTGCAGTTCCCAAGGTAGTGCAGCAAGAGATGGGAAAAACTGGGAAATGGATAAAGAATTTCTTGACCGGAAAGAAAGGCACTAAGGAGAAGGTGGGAAGAAACAATCCCACGTTAACTTCTGGGGCAGGAAACCAGGTCCCGTCAACACCGCCGGTTTCTGCCGCCACCCCCAAAGATAAGAAGAGATGGAGTTTCCGGCGGTCATCCGCCACCGCACCGCCTCCTGCTGGACAACAACAAAACAGAGACTTGAGTGCTTCAGAGAATGCTATCAGCGCCACCACTCCTAATGCCAAAAGAGAAGCTGTGGAGTCGGATCACGACCAAAAGATGCACGCATTGGCGGCGGCCGCTGCCACCGCAGCGGCCGCCGCCAAGGCAGCTGTTGCGGTTCTCCAATTAACTTCTGTTTCATCAGGCAGATCCTATGCTCTGGAAGTGGCTGCAGCAATCATAATTCAATCAGTTTTTCGGGGTTATTTGGTATAATTCACTCACTCTCAATCAATACAAAGCTTTGAATAACTTGTGGAATAGTAAATTATTGTGTCATAAACTCATACTTGTTTGGGATGCATATTAAGATTTGGTTTGCATATTGTATGATTAACATTTTATGAGGATTAGTCAAATTAATCCTCCGTAAGTATGTAGGATGTTTTTACTTGGATTGGTTTCAGTCCCATATCAAACCATATCAAACTTAGCTAGACCAGACTTAAATAGACCTGACTAGTTCAGACCAGACCAGACTTAAATATACCGGCCCAGACCAGCAAATTACTGTAAAGTAAAAACATTCGTATTTGTGTATGAGTATGGCTCATTGTAGCCAGGGGAGGATCTATGTTAGGGCTATGGTGGGCTGAAGCCCAGGGCAAAGTAAAAAAAAATTATTATTTTTAAGGTATTATGTTTAAAAAATTGCATCCAGCCCATCCCAAAATTTTCTATAGCCCAGTCCAATTTCTCAACCCAGCCCATAAACAAAATCTTAACGCCTAAAAATCTAATCTAAATGTTATACACATCACCCTCATACTTAATAATTGGCACTTAGTATATACATATAAGGACTTTATTGACATGTTCACAACAACTTTTAAAGTGCTTGAGTATTTTCAAAAACATTGCCCAAAAGTGAGTTCTTGGGCATAAGTTCGTAGTGTACATAAACACTTTTCATGTTTTGAATTTGTAATCCTTTACTTTTTTTTTTTTTTACTCCAGGGGGGTCTGGGGGAAGGGGGTCTGGGGGAAGGGGGGGCTGGGGAAGCCTTGAGTAATCAGGGCTGAAACTCACTCCGTTGAGTTTCGCACCCTTGTGTGCCTAGCGGATTTCGAACTCGAGACCTCCCACTAGACACGGTAACCTCACAATCAGCTGGGCTGGAATGCTTGGTTAAGGAAATAATGAATTCTGTCAAGGCCTTCGAAATTTTTTATTTGATATCTTGTTAGCCATGAGAGACATTTTTCCATTACACAACCGATCATTCTAGAGGAATTGGCAAAAAACGGATGGGAAGGCTTTCTTGAAGAAGTAAAGGAGTTTTGCTCAAAACATGAAATTCATGTACCGAAGTTGAATTTTGAATATACGGTTGGTCATTGCAGAAAGAAACTATAGTTGAACATCATTATCACTTTGATGTTTTCAATGAGGCAATACACTTTGTATTGATGGAGTTAAGGACCCGAATTAATGATAAATCAGTAAAACTCCTTTTTTTGAGTGCTTCATTGGATCCCAAAAATTTATATGGGTCATCCAATGTCGATGTTATTTGTACTCTTGCAAGGAATTTCTATCCCGAAAATTTTAGTAGTCAGGACATTCATGCTTTGGAATTCGAGCTGCAACACTATGTCCATGATGTATTCATGTACAAAGTTTTAGTATCTACATTTATGATTAAGAGTTGATTAAGAGCAGAAAATCTGCTTCATATGTTATGATGAGTAGATTGATTTTCCTTTTATTGAACTTACTGTTCTTTTGCAAAATTAGAACACTCGTTTTATGCCATGAAACTTCTAAAGGCAGCACTCCTCAACAAAATGGATGATGACTTTATACTGAAAAAGACATTACACTCTTAGTATAGATATAGACTCTATTGTTGATGAATTCTTTTTGTTTCAAAGCCTCGTTGAGAACAAATTTAATGGAGAACTCTTATATTTGATTTTTTTTTTTTTATTTTGAAAATTTTCAATGTACTATTATTTAAGTGTTTCAGCCCAGCCCAACATGAAATCCTGGATCCGCCCCTGATTGTAGCCGGTCAATCTTGAATATCATGTCCGTGTTTCTAATGCTTATCGGGATTGAATTGCTTATTGGACTTGATTGTATCATTTAAGTTGCATTTCAAGTCGCCCGATAAAAGGATATCCATACGTTGGCTCATAAGCCGAAAAACTAGTTTACGAAACGAGCGTGGGGCTCTGTATTTAAAAGAATCTCATGAACGAGAAATTTTAATTTGGTCTATTGTTTTTCATGACAAGTAATTTTATGGGCATGTTTTAGTATTAAGACATAAAATGATCAATTGGATGATTTTTGTGCAGGCAAGAAAAGCATTGAATGCATTGAAAGGGCTGGTGAAATTGCAGGCACTGATAAGGGGGCATTTGGTGAGGAAACAGGCGGCGGCTACACTAAGGTGCATGCAAGCACTCATTACAGCTCAGGCCAGAGCTCGAGCCCAGCGACTTAAAATGGCTGAGGATCAAGAAAACCAGAGGATATCACTTCATAGAAGATCTACACAAGACAATAACAAATTCCATCCCTCACCATATCAAGTACGTTTCATCTTTCTATTGAATTGAAATGTTGTGAATTGAATTATTGGATACTAGATAAAATCACGTTTAAAATGATTCTAATTCTGATCTTTTTAAAGTTGGAATAAAATCAATCATAATCTGGTCTCCTGTTACATCTAAAAACCGTTTTTAAGATCAATTTGAAACACTTACAACTTTAGAAGTATTTGTATACTTTCACTTGAACACTATTAAAGTGTTTGACGTTGCTTAAAAAAAGTTTTTCATCTTTGGGCTTAAAAAAAGTTGAAAAAAAGTGTTTCGTATGACAATTTCTGCTTAAATTAACCACTTAAAAGCTAAAAGCTGGAAGCAGGTGGAAGGGTGCTTTAAACTGCTTTTCACTTTTTCTATTACACAAAAAGCATTTATTTTACCAAAGATTACCAATTTTTACTTTTTCAGAATCATTTTTTTCTCAAACACTACCAACTTTCACTATCAAGTACTTTCTCAAAAATCATTTTTTTTAAATAGAAGCAATCACAAACACTTCCCTATATCTGTGTTTATTCTGTGAAGAAGTAGAAAAAACTCTTTTCTCACCACCTATAATTTCAACTTTGAAATATGTTCAAATTGTGATTTATTGTGCCTACAAAATAATGTGGTCCAACTATCTCCTCCGAAACTTTCGCTGATTTGTGTCCATATGAGAGAATTTGACAGAACTAAAATGGATAAAATTGAATTTGACTGAACGCTTGTACCTAACTGAAATGGACAAATCGATTGAATCATAGAACGGGTACTAATAATAAGAGGAAATCATGGAAACAAAATGATCAGATCTTTACCGTAGTATATGTTCACTAATACAAAAAAAAGACAACTTTTTTGGTTGGAACTATGATCGTGTCTCAATTCTGATTCTAGAGCTAGCCTTTGATTTGTAATCCAGAACCCAAACTATGTATTTCCAAACCAAAAAGCAGTGGTGTTTAATTGTGGTTTTGATTGTAATAAAAGGCATCGAAGTGAGTAAATTAAGTTGGTGTCGGTTCAATTATTTTCAAGTTTTTTTCATTTTCAATTGGTTTTGACATGTTTCCGTTGATTAGCCAACTCTATGGCATAAATCTCCGACTTTAAAAACAATCAACTTTGTAAGTTTTGGTTTCATTCGCTTCAGTTTGATGTTGGTTTGTATCTTGTTCTTTGTTTAATGCTTCTAAATATATATATAAAGAGATATTTTAACTTTACACCACATGTTTTGGATGATATTACACTTTGCGTCCCCATTTTTAAAATCATTAATGTGTGCATCTAATAAGCTCAAAAATTGTGAAGGAATATGTGCAAAGTCAAATGTTTTTATAATGCTTTGTTTTTATTAAAAATATGGTGCAAAATGAAATATCACTAAAAAATAGTTTGCAAAATCAAGTTCTCCCATACATAAAAGTGGTGATAGAGTGTTTGAAAGAATCCAATATTTATACAACTCAAATGAATGTTTTAGTGCATAAAATTTGGGAGAACATAAAATTTGGTACTCTCCCAAATATAAAACTGGTGATAGAATGTTAGAAAGAATCAAATATTTATAAAACAAGATTTATAAACACAACATGAATGTTTTAGTGCATGGGAATTTGGGATTAAATAAATTTCATATTTGTTTTGGCCATCTATGTAGGAACTTGATAGAGGGATGCTGGATGACACCATCAAGATTGTGGAGATGGATCTAGGAGCAACACCAAGGGCAAACCGAGACCACATATTATCAACGTTAAATGGGCCATACCCAAAGCATGAAGCCCAACACCATATCTCTCCAGCCCCATCCGGCATGACGGATCAAAGCCCAAGAGTCTACAGTGGACACTACGAGGACTACTCATATTGCACCCCACAAAGCAGCCCACATTGCCACTCCAAGCCCACAACCCCAATTCTCTATGGATCTGACTCACTTTACCACGAATACCCATTTTACCCCGGCTATATGGCCAACACTGAGTCTTCTCGGGCCAAAGTCCGGTCACATAGCGCCCCGAAGACCCGGCCCGAAACGTTCGAGCGGCAGCCCAGCAAACGTAGACCGTCCATTGAGGGGAAGAACTTGCCGAGAGCGATCCGGATGCAACGGTCCACATCTCACGTGGGGTCCACGCCCCAGAGTTACCATTATCCGTGGTCAATCAAGCTTGACCGGTCAAATATGTCGCTCAAGGATAGCGAGTGTGGGTCCACCTGCAGTGTTCTCACCACTAATACGATGTACAGCAGACATGTGGTTGGCTTTGATGTGAGTATATATATCCTCTCTTTTGTGTTTACATATTAAAAAAACGTGCACTTTTTTTCCCAATGGCTTAGCTTAAAAAGATTGAAATTGGAAAATGTGTAAATTGACAGAACTAAAAACAAGTTTATTAGTAAAAGAAGTAGATATTTATAGTGACATATTGTTTAGTTTACTCATACCAAATTTCAGCTAACAATTCATTCGGGAATGCATTCAAATGAATTCTTGAAGATAACTGCACTTTTAACTTCACAGTTAAAAATGTATGAAAAAGTTAAAATAGTTTTTCTATATAGTAATTTCGGTCAATTCAGTCAAAAAAATAACTTCAACCTTACTTAGTTTGGTTATTACGCAATTAAACACGTGAAATATTGGTTGATAAAGTTGATAAGCTAAAAACTGATGTGAGCAAATGGGCTCTCGTTTGGATTGAAAATTTATGGTCAAGCTTTAACAAACTCGATTTGTTTTATTTTGTCTTCGAGTGATTTCATCTAATCTATTTAAGTGTGGTACAAACTAAATTTTATGTTTTGATTAGGTTTGATTGGTTGTGAACTCGATTGGTCTAGTTATTTTCATTCTTCATTTTGGTGATATCCGATTTGATTTATTGAGGACTTTATTAAAGTTAATATTTATCCATGCAGGTACAGGGAAATAGGTACTAATTACTTGATAAACAAGAACGTGAGAAGAAAGTACAAGTAATGAACTGAAAAGGAACATTGTCATGACTTTGTAACGCTTTGCTCACTACAGTTTGAATATTTGATCCTCTTTGATGTGGCGTCCAGTGTATAAGTTTGATAAATGGTACATTAAGCATTGTGTATATTGTACAACTTTGGTATCTCTAGTCAATTAATTTATACTTCGTATACGTTAATAATATTGTTCCACGAGTTCAGCTTCCATTTCAAAATTAAGTTGTCTCTAATTCCACTTTTCACTGTGAATTACATATATTGTCAAGGGTCCACAGTCCAGCAGCCTAAATAAATTTCGAAAGTTTGTGGACTAATCCAAGTCAACCCTTATTTATTTATCACATGGATCACCCTTTTCAATTGTAGAAAGTAAGCTCTTGAAAGTCATTAATGGATATTCAAATTAAAGCTTTTTTATATGGTGGGAGTTTAGGGATCGGAGGGCAGAAGACCTCTTGTATGTGATACTCTTCAATATATAGAAATCTATAGGCTTTTTTACTTGTTATTTATATTGTGTAGGCTTATTAGGGTAAGCAAGTCTAAACATTGTCAATGTGTAGGCTTGTTAAGCAAACCCAATGGACTATGATCCATTACAATTTTAAATTAATTGAACTATATTAGTAAATCTTTACTTAAAGATAGTTTCCTATTTCCTTACAACATTCATGACGTATTTGTTTAATTAAATGTGAAATTATCTATAACAAAATTAACTAGCATGAAGAAATAGGATCCTTAAACCAAGCATGATATGTGCAGATATTCTGTAGCAATAATTATAGAAATAGTGAAGATCAAATTATTGAAATAAACTTTTAAATAAAAATAACATTTTGATGAAGCAATTAAGTTCAAACATCACTTCAAACTTTTCATTAGAACATTACATTGAGAAGAATCGTATTGCAACTTTAGATCCAACCTTCTTATTCTGACAGCAAAACTTTCTTATTTTTATATCAATGAGAGTATAATGTAAGGACCAATGTTGGCTAATGAGATAATGTATAATAAAATACATTCACTATTTATTTATAAAGATTATTAAGATGGGACAAATAGAAAATGTGACATCAATTCATATATTTCATCTTCTCCATTACTATATGCCATAATTGCATATTTGCATTTATACGATTAGTAAATAGTGGACAAAATGTGACATTTAGAGCTTGTTTGGTGACTTTGTTTTCTGCTTATCAGGCTTATCAGTCGAATTTTTAACTAAACACGTAAATTTTGATTTCGTGCGCCGAAATGTGTAATAATAAGAAGAAAAAATAAGGTTGGAGTTACTTTTCTGACTGTATTGGTTGAAGTTACTTTAGATGATCATTTTAACTATTTTTCATATAATTTGTTCTTTATTTTATTAATGAATTATATTTTATATATTTCTCTCCATGAATCAGCACAATTAGCTAATACAGTCACTTCAGCCAGAACTTCGTACAAAGCGATTATTTTTATAACTTTAGTGACTATGACTATGTTAAATTTTACACTTCACTTACTAAAAAGTATACTCATGGTGACTTGTAGTCACAATTTTGTCAACAACTTTTATTTTAATATTTTTTTAGAAAAAAAAAACTCGTACCTAAAAGAATTCGTTTTTACGACTGCTAGATTATGTTCCAAAAAATACATCCGTATATACATATGTAAAAACAAATTGCGAAAAATAGAAACCTATGCAGGCTATGACTCCACTCTTTTCAAGTAGATCCTTCCCTAGTCGGATATTGAGTTAATTATCTCAGTGGCTGGCCTGAAGATATGCCTTTGTAGTGCTTCTGAAATGCTCCCTCTTCATCCATAGGACCGACCATAGCAAATTGAAGCGTTGCTATAAAAGCACACTCCTTGTGATGTAATATCACTAATATAGTGTCAAGTGTGGTTGGGTTGAAATGAAACAATAAAAATTGATGTTAAACTAACTCTAGCAATTTATGGTACGGTAATGCCTCATTTGAGATGACTAGATTCTAGAGGATTTAGAGCTCATGAGGCAATTTTGAGTTTTGCTTGATTTACACGTGGGATTGCAGTTTACACGCCCAAGTGCAACAGCAACTGTTTGTACACAGATAATTACTCTTGGATTTTAGTAAATAGAAGTGTTTGTGACTCCAAAAAATGATGTGCACACACTATTCAAGATCACATATGTTTTCCTTTACTAAACTAAAGAGTAGTTGTCTGTGCACATACAATAACACTTGGACGTGTAAGTCACGTGTAACCAGTGGCGGATCCAGGAATTTTTTTTGTTGGGGGCACCACTAACATACATATTGTGGCAGAACTACTCTAGGGCTCTAATATAATACGGAGTATAAGGGTATTCATGTGAACAACCGTAAGTTTGAGAAAAATAAAAAGATACCCTGTATGTGTCTAAAATTAGCAAAATATAGCCCCAAGCAAATAGAAGCAAAATAATTCGAATATGCAAAAGTAGAACTATAGCCTTATATTCTCAAAATAGGAATAATTTATATTCACTTTTTTTATTCTACCATATCAATAAGAAAATCATATTTTCATTTAGAATAAAAGCATAAGAATAATAGAAAAAGACTCTTACATATACTAGTAATAAAAATGTAAATAAACAAATGTCACATTTTCTCTGAAAAATAACATGAAGATGATTGTGTTACTCTCCCATAAGGTAGGTCTTGGGTTCGAAACTCCATGTACGGAGTTTCAGCCCTATTTACCTCAGGCTCCACCAAACCCGTGACCCCCAGGTAAAAAAGAGAATGTATTATTCTTTGAAAATGTCAAATTTTACTCTAAATCCGTCACGAATAGTGGTAGTGTTCCAAGGTGGTTGAGATTCACATGTTTTGTTTATGGTTTTTATATATGAGTTTACACTCTATGTTTTATTATTTTAAATGAAAAAAAAAATCTTATTAACGTACGATAAGGGCATGATAGGAAGAGTTACTCTATTTCAAAAATTTTAAAAGTATACACTCATTTTTGCAATTTAGCTTATATTTACTCCTATTTAGAAAATTAGTCCAAATATTAAATAATAGTACAAATTAACAAAAAAAATACTCACTCAGCTGGTAGAAGCTAAGGGCCTGTTTACTAACAGAAATATTTTCCAGTTTTCCAGAAAACTGGAAAACTGGAAAACAGAAAACAGGAAACGTGTTTACCAAAGAAATTCCTGGAAAACTGGAGAAAGGAAAAAAGAAAAGCGCGTTTACCAAATCGTTTTCCAAAACGGAAAAAATGAAACATGTCTCTCTTTTCCTTAATGATATGGAGAAGTGACTTTTATTAGTTTTCCAAATTTGGAAAACGCAGATGCTATAGTGCCTTTGCAATGAATTTGCATACTTACACCTAGTGGTGGGTCCGGTCCCGCTCCGATGTCGATTCCATTCCGGTACCTAGCTCCATCCTCGTACCTTACCCCTTACCCCTACCCTACCCTACCCTACCCACCCAACCCCCACCCCGCGTACCCATTTTTCCCTATAATGACCTTACCCCACCCCCCACCACATGCCCCGACCTCGGCCCCACCCGATCCACCCTACCCTACCGCCACCCCCTACCACCTCGACCCCACCTCGATCCACCCTACCCTACCGCCACCCCCCTACCACCTCGACCCCTACCCTACCCTCACCCCTCGTATATTACCACTTACCCCTACCTTACCCCTTACCACATGCCTCCTACCTCGGCCCCACCCTGGTCCCGACCCCACCTTACCGCCATCCTATCCCAACTCCCTACCCTACCCCTACCTTACCCCAACCCCAAACCCCACCCACTACCCCCACCCTTACCGCCATCCTACCCCGGCCCCACCCTACCGCCATCATATCCCAACTCCCTACCCTACCCCTACCTTACCCCAACCCTACCCACTACCCCACCCTTAACCCTAACCACGACCCTAACCCACCCACTACCCCCACCCAACCCCCTACCCCTAGACCTTACCACCCCACCCCGACCATACCCCTTACCCTACCCCCACCCATAACTTCCCTACCCGACCCCTACGAGTAGGTATGGGTGGGTATGAAGGGTTGTGGTGGAGTATGGGTAGAGTGTAAGATCGTGGTAAGGGTAGAGGTAGGGGTCAAGGGTGTGGAATTGGAGAACTGTGTGAAAAAATTGATGAACATGTTTTTAAATTTGAAAATGGAAAACTAAAAAATAGAAACAGAAAATTGGAGATAGAAAAACTGAAAAATAAAAACAGAAAATTGGAGAACGAAAAACAGAAGTAGAAAACAAGAAAATATCTCTGTTAGTAAACAGGCCCTAATACTCCGTAATTGTTTTTGTTCTTGGCACGAGAGCATCTTTCTTTTTATTGGGGGCATTTGATTTTTTAATTGGGGGCACACCCTAATTATTTAATAAAAGCATAATTTTTTAAACTAAAAAGTAAGACTTTGTTGGGGGCATGTGCCCCCATTGAGTTTAACGTGTGTCCGCCCCTCCTGCGTGTAACCGGGCGTATACACGGACCAAAACTCAGCAATTTATGGGCAAATGTAAGACACGCAATATCTTTTATCTTAGGCCTTGTACTGAGAGCTCGTTTGGTGACTGAACTTTCTGACTTATCATACTATACTCATCAGTCAATTTTTTTAATCAAACATGTAACTTTTGATTTCGAACGTTAAATTGTGTAATAATAAAAAAGGCAAGGCTGAGATTAGTTTTCTTGCTATATTGGTTAAAGTTACTGTAAATGATCATTTAACTATTTTTTTCATATAATTTTTTCTTTATTTTTTTTAGTAAGATACATTTTAAATACAATTTTTTCAATTTTCATAAATCATCAGAACCAGTCAATTCAGCCACTTGAATCAGAATTTCATAAATGTCAGTAGATTCAGCCGATTTTGATATTACTATTTTATAAATTTCATAAATATAGATTATTCACAAATTTCATAAAGAGGCTCAAAATATTTTTATAAGGAGATTATATATTTCACAAATATAGATTATTTCAACCTTGTTATAAGGCCTTGTGATCAGGGACGGAGCTATGTGTAAACCAAGGGGGGCCATTGCCCCTCCCATGATTTTGATTTTTTTTAGTTATTGGCTTGTAATTTTTTTTTTTGCCCCCCTCCCTCCCAATTTTGTGTTTCTATAATAGTGAAGTAGTTCAAAATATATATGTTTATAGTTTATACTACACTTACAATTTTTCAATACTTCATTGAAATATCATATCTATAAAAGCACTATATTCTTTAGGAGTAGTTATTTGGAAAATATTAAATCTATAATA